TTAGAAATGCAATTCTTCCTAATCAGTGGAAAAATGATGGGAAATTTGGGAAAGAACAAACAGGGCAAGGTAGCAAACAAGTGGAGAATTTGTGTCACCGTTGTGGTGGAAAGGGTCATTGGGCTCGTGCATGTCGTACCCAAAGACACTTGGTTGATCTTTATCAGGAATCCCTTAAAGGAAAGGAGAAGAAGGTTGAGACAAATTTTGTTTGTCCTGAAAATGATGTTGGACATGGCTATAATAGCCAGGTTGATCCTACCTATCTTGATATGGCTGATTTCTTTGGTGATGGAAATGGTGAATGCGGAAGTGGAGCAATATGAACTTATGTTTTATCATATTTGATAATAAGTTGTGTGTGTAAAATAAATGGATTGTAAAATAACTTTGTGTGTGTCTCATAAATAAATGTAGTATTAATCAAATAGTTTGATGTTATGTAGTAATGGTTTGGAAAATAAATGGTTTGTACTTTGAAATAATAATATTCTTTTATTATGTTTTCGGCCTCATTCTTCTAAATAACTTCTTTTATATTTGATGAAGAATGAACACTACCGCCATTGAAGCCAATGCTAGTGACAAAGATGTATGTCTCGTTGATAGTGCATCAACTCATACAATACTCAAGGATAGAAAGTATTTTTCGAGTTTGGTATTTCAAGAAGCCAATGTTCGTACAATCTCAGGTAGTACAAAATTGATTGAAGGTTCCGGAAATGCTGATATGGTATTACCTGGGGGCACAAAGTTACATATTAAAGAAGGTCTATATTCTAGCAAATCTCATCGCAATTTGTTGAGCTTTAAAGATATCCGCCAGAATGGGTATCATGTTGAGACAATGAGTGAAGGAAATATAGAATATATTTCCATCACAAGAGAGTGCTCAGGAAAGAAGCACACTTTAGAAAAGCTACCTGAGTTATCTCAAGGTTTATACTACACGCATATCAGCATGATCGAAATGAACGCAATTGTGAACCAAAAAGGTACAAATTACGATGAGTTTATAATTTGGCATGACCGGTTGGGCCATCCCGGATCATATATGATGCGAAAAATAATTGAGAGCTCTTGTGGGCATTCAATGAAAAGCAGGCAAATGCCTCAACCTAAACTCTCATTTTGTGCTGCTTGTTCTCAAGGAAAGTTAATTATTAGACCATCACCAGTGAAAGTAAGAAATGAGTCTCTTGGATTCTTAGAACGTATACAAGGTGATATTTGTGGACCAATTCACCCACCATGTGGACCATTTAGGTACTTTATGGTCCTAATTGATGCATCAACTAGATGGTCACATGTGTCGTTATTATCCACTCGTAACTTGGCATTTGCAAGGCTACTAACTCAACTAATTCGCTTGCGAGCACATTTTCCTGATTATCCAATCAAGAAAATTCGTCTTGATAATGCTGGTGAATTTACTTCTCAAACTTTCAATGACTACTGCATGTCAATGGGAATTGATGTTGAACATCCTGTAGCTCATGTTCACACACAGAATGGACTTGCAGAATCATTCATCAAGCGTTTACAAATGATTGCAAGACCATTACTTATGAGAACAAAACTACCAATTTCATGTTGGGGGCATGCTATTCTACATGCGGCAACACTAATTCGCATCAGGCCAACAAGCTATCATAAGTACTCCCCTATACAATTGGTTTCTGGCCAAACACCTAATATTTCTCATTTGAGAATTTTTGGAAGTGCGGTATATGTTCCAATCGCTCCACCACAGCGTACAAAGATGGGTCCTCAAAGGAGGTTGGGGATATATATTGGTTATGAATCTCCATCTATAATTAAATACTTGGAACCAATGACAGGAGATCTATTTACTGCCAGATTTGCTGATTGTCATTTTGATGAGTCAACATATCCAATTCTAGGGGGAGAAAAGAAGCAGCTGGTTAAAGATATCAGTTGGAATGAATTATCATTGTCTCATCTTGATCCTCGAACCAAAGAAAGTGAACTAGAAGTTCAAAGGATAATTCATTTGCAACGTTTAGCTAACCAACTGCCAGACGCATTTACAGATCTAAAAAAGGTGACAAAATCACATATACCAGCTGCTAATGCTCCAGCAAGGGTTGATGTCTTGGTTAAACAACCCGATAATGCAAACGAGTCTAAACCTCGCATGAAGCGTGGTAGGCCTATCGGTTCCAAGGATAAAAATCCTCGAATAAAGAAAGGAGCTAAGAATCAAGATGGTCCAAACGAGGAAGCAATTATCCTAAAAGAACCTCTAAGCATGATTATATCTGTTCCAAAGGAACATCAGGTACCTGATGATAATGAGAATAAGGAGATCTCAATAAATTATGTCTTGGATGGGATACAATGGAACCGAGGTAAAGTCAACGTTGATGATTGTTTTGTATATAATGTAGCGCTAGACATAATAAATGATAATGAGGATCATGAACCGCGGTCTATAGATGAATGTAAGAAAAGAGATGATTGGCCAAAGTGGAAAGATGCAATAGAGACAGAATTGAATTCACTCTCAAAACGAGAGGTTTTTGGACCTGTTGTACATACACCAAAAGATGTGAAGCCAGTGGGATATAAATGGGTATTTGTGCGAAAACGTAATGAAAAGGGTGAAATTGTGAGATACAAAGCACGTCTGGTAGCACAAGGTTTTTCGCAAAGACCTGGCATTGATTATGAGGAAACATATTCCCCTGTGGTGGATGCAACTACTTTTCGGTATTTGATTAGCCTGGCAGTACGAGAAAAACTAAATCTACGTCTAATGGATGTTGTTACAGCATATTTATATGGAGAACTTGACAATGACATCTATATGAAAATCCCTGAGGGATTCAATATTCCAGAAGCAAAGACATCAAGTTCTCAAGAAAATTATTCAATCAAATTGAATAAATCCTTGTACGGATTAAAGCAATCTGGACGAATGTTGTACAATCGTCTAAGTGAGTATCTGTTGAAACAAGGATACAAAAATGATTTAATTTGCCCATGTGTTTTCCTGAAAAAGTCCAACAATGGGTATGTTATCATTTCTGTCTATGTGGATGATATAAATATTGTTGGCACTCCAGAAGATCTATCGAAAGCAGTAAGTTGCTTGAAGAAGGAATTTGAAATGAAAGATTTAGGCAAAACGAGATTTTGTCTTGGATTACAAATTGAGCATATGAAAGATGGAATTCTTGTCCATCAAGAAAGATATGTCTCGAAGGTGCTAAAACGGTTTTACATGGATAAATCACATCCATTGAGCACACCGATGGTTGTAAGATCACTAAACGTAAGGAAGGACCCATTTAGACCGCGAGAAGGATCAGAAAAATTACTTGGTCCAGAAGTACCATATCTTAGTGGCATCGGAGCACTTATGTATCTTGCTAATCATACACGACCTGATATATCATTTGCTGTAAATTTATTAGCCAGATATAGTTCTGCTCCAACTCGAAGGCATTGGAATGGAATCAAGCATATTTTTCGTTACCTTAGGGGAACAATGGATATGGGTTTATTTTATTCGAATGTATCCGCGAAGGATCTAGTAGGATATGCAGATGCAGGTTATCTTTCTGATCCTCATAATGGTCGTTCTCAGACAGGCTATTTATTCACGTGTGGTGATACAGCAATTTCATGGTGATCCAAGAAACAAAATTTAGTAGCCACATCTTCTAATCACGCAGAAATTCTAGCAATACATGAAGCAAGCCGTGAATGTATATGGCTTAGATCAATGATCAACCATATCCAAGGAAGTTGTGGTTTATCCACGGAGAGTATCATACCTACAATCATCCATGAAGATAATGCTGCATGTATTGCTCAACTTACGGCAGGGTATATTAAAGGAGATAGAACAAAGCATATTTCACCAAAGTTCTTTTTCACTCATGAACTTCATAAGAAGGGTGAAATAAATGTTCAACAAATCCGATCAAGTGAAAATCTTGCAGATTTGCTTACCAAAGCACTTCCCACTAAAACATTTGAGAAGTTAGTCCTTAATATCGGAATGCGACGATTGAAGGATCTAGTCTGATCGGGTCATCAGGGGGAGAAAATACGCACTGCACTCTTTTTTCCTTAACCATGGTTTTTCCCACTGGGTTTTCCTGGTAAGGTTTTTAATGAGGCAGTATACAAAAGTGTATTACAAGAATTATGTACTCCTTTTCTTCACTAGGTTTTATCCCAGTGGGTTTTTCCTAACAAGGTTTTAACGAGACATATTCTTGATCAATGAACATCAAGGGGGAGTGTTGAGAATTATTGGCAAGGGGGGGGGGGGGGGGGCGGCTGGCTGTTCATTGAAGCCGCCTCCACCCGCAAAACGTTTGTACAGGACCTGCATAGTAACTTTTCTTTTTCTATAAATAGCTGAGATTTCTGATTTCAGAATTCATTCAGAAAAATATGAGTAGGAAGATAGAATTATTCTCTATGTATATGCTCTGTCAAAAGAAATAAAAGAGATAGTGATATATATCTATTTTATATCCACTTTGTCTACTGTATCTCATATTGTCTTGTTTCAAAGTCTATACTTCCGCCTGTCGAAATTTACAACAGGACAAACCTTGTTTGAAATTGAAGCCTTTTTGTAGTAACAAAATTTAAAATTTGTGTGGGCACTCTCTCCTCATACGCATAGCGTGCTGACTGGCCTTGTTACTACCAACACTAGAAGACAGGTTCAGTGACCGTTTAAATTCAAATTCAAAACCCTCCTACCTCACAGCTCACTAACCTCACTGCTGGTCACCCTTCCCCGCCCATTAAAAAAGAAAGGCGCGGGATTCTTCATACACGTGGCCTCGTTCCATTAGTCCGTCACGCACGGGACCGAGAAAAGGAAGTAACTAAAAGCCCATTGGCCCACACAGTCCTCGTCGGACGCTCCACCGGCACCAACGAATCGTCCCGTCTCGAATTCAAATCGACCCGAAAAAAGGCAAAATACGGCATTTAATTAATTGGTTTAAGAAAAATCGGAAAATCATAAATACCATCAAAAAGCTTTAGTTCCCCTCTTTTCCACGCTAGAAGAAACGACCGACTCGACTGAGAAACAGATACCCAAACCAGGGTCTTCACTTTTTCCTTTTCTTTCCTTTCCTTTCTTGTTCCTGAATCAGGGGGACGGGGAAATTGGTGAAGGATTTTCTTGATCGCGGGGAAAACGAAAATGTCGCAGCCACGCCGGTCGTCGTTTTCTGCATCCACAACGTCGTCTCTGGCGAAGCGGTCGGAGAATGCCGGGAAGACGGCGGTGGTCGCCTCCTCCGCTGCTCCTGCTTCGCACTTGGCCAGGAAACGAGCGCCTCTTGGAGATATTACGAACAATTCGAGGAATGCTGCGCAGAAAGGGTCGAGAACCGCTCTCCCGTCGTCGACTCTGGTTCGTTTCTTGAGTTCTTTCTCGTTTCTTGGTGTTGGCTCTTGTGGGTATTTTCTTTCCTGGAGTTTTCTTGCGGTTTCGTAAAGCGAGTGAAAATGGAATCCATCTGGGTTTCTAAGAATTTAACAGATATGTGTGTGTTTCGTTTCTTTCACCTTTTACTCTGTAAACGCTTAAGCTACTGACTTTAACAAGTGGGTCTCAATTTTGGAAGTTAACAGTTTAGGGTAATTCGATTTCTTGGCGGAAACGAATTGGGTGAATGGGTTTTACTGAAAATTAGTGTTGATGAGAGGGATGCTTTGTGATTTGGAATCTTGGAAGGTTGCTCTGTTTCTTGGTCAGGGTTTCTAATGAGATTTGATTTCAGGGGCAGAGTACTGCTAAAATTGCTAAATTCAAGAAAGGCCCCACTCCTGCTTCCAGCAACACAGCCTTGTCTGGAAATTTCATACCTTCAGTGGTGAAATCGACTGAGATTGAGGTCACATCTGCACGAAGAAGCCATGAAGTTGTCTCGAGCATTGTCAAGCCCCCTACGTCCTGTGAAACGAATGTTTCTCCAACGAAAACAAATGAAGGTTGCATGTCCTTGGATGAAACCATGTCCACCTGTGATTCCTTCAAGAGCCCTGATGTTGAGTATCTCGACGACAATGACTTGCCTGAGATTGATTGTATCAACAAGAAGGCTTTAAACAAGCTCTATATTTCGGATCATGAAGTAGTAGCAGGTGAATTGCTTTGATATAACCTCAACCTGTTTTCTGTTTTGTCTTTTTCTGGGTTTCTGAAGATGATCAATCACATTTATGCTATACATGGCTTCTAATTTGAGTTTTTGATTGGGGTGCTTGCAGAAAATATGTGCAACAGAGATGCACATGGTGTGATTGATATGGATACAGATGACAAGTTTGTAAACCTGGATACCAATTTTGAGGATCCTCAGCTTTGTGCCACGATTGCTTGTGATATTTACAAGCATCTGCGAGCTTCTGAGGTTTGTTCGAGTCCCTAATGTAGATGAATTGAAACTGTAACTTGTTGTGGACTTTGTAGTTGGTTTAACCTCTTAACATTGTTGTGTTACTTACATTTTTGTGGTTGCAGGCTAAGAAAAGACCAGCAACAGATTTCATGGAAAAAACTCAGAAGGATGTAAATGCCAGTATGCGTGCTATACTGATAGATTGGCTTGTGGAGGTTGCAGAAGAGTACAGACTTGTGCCAGATACCCTGTACCTGACTGTGAACTACATTGATCGATATCTCTCCGGCAATGTGATTAACAAGCAAAGATTGCAATTGCTTGGTGTTGCCTCCATGATGATTGCTGCGTGAGTAACAAGTTTCGGGGTTTCTTGTTGAGTGATGTTTAGTCCTTTTTCTCTTGTGAAGTAGCATACTAACAGCACTAAACCATTCTCTATGTTGACAGAAAATATGAGGAAATATGTGCGCCCCAGGTAGAGGAGTTCTGCTACATTACTGACAGCACATACTTCAAGGATGAGGTATGAAAATGTTTTGAAACTCTCCTGCTACATACTTTGTCCTTTGTCCGTGTAGTTTGCTTACCTAAACATGTGAAACATTGTATTGTGTGTAGGTTTTAGAAATGGAATCTGCAGTTTTGAATTACTTGAAGTTTGAGATGACAGCCCCAACACCCAAATGTTTCTTAAGGTGATTACTGATAAATTGCATCCATTCATCACATTGCCTTCTGCAGTTCTGCTTTAGTTGTTTCTCTTGGCTTCTGTTTGCTGACTTCTTGTTGTTGTTGCATTGCCTTCGTTATGAAGACGATTTGTGAGAGCTGCCCAAGGAATCGATGAGGTCCCATCAATGCAGTTGGAATGCTTAGCAAATTACATCAGTGAATTGTCTCTGCTGGAGTACAATATGCTTTGCTACCCTCCATCTGTTGTTGCAGCCTCTTCCATTTTCTTGGCCAAGTTCATACTTTTCCCTTCTAAGAGACCATGGGTAAGTATGAGATGACGAGAGCATGATCACCAGCATTTTACTCATTGAAAATCATTTTGGGGGCTCGCACTGATCTCTTACTATTATGTTTGGACAGAATTCCACATTGCAACATTACACACTCTATCAGCCTAGTGATCTACAAGACTGTGTAAAGGATCTTCACCGCCTGTGTACCAGCACTTACGACTCTACCTTGCCCGCGATTAGAGAAAAGTACAGTCAGCATAAGGTGAAGATAATCTGACTTTTGAATTTTGTTTTGCCACCCTCCTAGAAAAACCCCTCTTTGGCCCCCCTTCATAACAGTCTCTAACTTTATGATCTTGCCTTGATTTTGTTCTGTTGGGGACTCCAGTACAAGTTTGTAGCCAAGAAATTCTGCCCTCCTCGAATACCAGAGGAATACTTCCACAAGCAAATCTTATAGGCAGACTGACAGAGATTGATCTATCTGAGGAAACCTCATCAACCAAGTCGCGCGGTGTCTACTAGTAGTAATGGGCAGTATTCATTCGCCAAAGGGCTATGATTCGACCAACAATCTTCAGCAGTCCCTCTACTAGTAGTAATGACGGTATCTTTCCAATGCTCCGTTGGAAGCAGCTCTTCTGCCCATCTGCCCCCAGAATGTAAGAATGTAGTTTAGCAGCAGCAGATAGTAGCAGTTGATGTAACAGTAGCCTGAGTCAGCTCTTTGTATGATACCTCCACCATTACCCTGCTACGGGTTTGCATGCTTTCTTTTTTGAAACTTGCCTTGCTATGGCTTTGTAGATCAGAAATTTTCCTCTGGACAATAATCAAGTTTGATGAGTGCAGACATTCCATTTTGTGGAGTTTTCCTAGATTTTCACTGGAAGAACAAAGTTTACTATCAAAACTCAATGGAAGCAAAGTCAACAGAGTGATATTTAGTATATTACATCAGTAGTATTGATGGCAAATATTGTACAGCAGAGTGGTCCTCATTATTTACCTAAGCGTATTAAGAAGAGGGCAAAACTTATAATTAAGTGTTCACTGCTCACAGATTTACACATTAATATAACATACATTTTCTTTAAGCTGATCAACAGCGAGGCCTGCCAGAAGTTTTCAGATTTCTATCCCGGCCACCAGAAGTTGGGATCTCGTCCAGAAAATAGCAATCCTCAAACGAGCAACCTGGTCCATAATTCGGCCACTTCACATCACTTGGCTCCATGTACATTTGCCCCCACGCCGGCGTCCCATCCTCGTATGAATTCTGCGTCCACCTCGTCAACTCCGATCCGTCCAATTTGATCGTGAAGATATCACCGTACGGCTGGTAGTGATGCGGGTTTGAGATCGGCTCGGCTGATATTCCGGCGTAGTCAGTGGTAAACACTATACTCTTTGAATCCGGGCTGAAATAAGGGTGGTTGCACCGCCCGCCGGCGCCGCTTTGAATCAGCTTCCTCAACCCTGTACCATTCGGGTGGATCAAGTAGATCGCGAAGCTGCCGCTACCCGGGTCGTGCCGATCGGAGGAGAAGGCAATCCACTCGCCGTCCGGCGACCATTTACACATCGTGTCCGTCCATGGACCCTCCGTCAATTTCCGGAGCCCGCCGTCGCCGGCCTCGCCCTTCTCGGCGTCCATTATGTAGAGATTCTTCTGACCCGATAAACCCGATCGGAACACGATCCATTTTCCGTCCGGTGAGAGTGAGGGGAAAGCGTTGTTGATGCCGTTGGTGGTCAATTTTTTGACGTTATTGTCCACGTCAGCGTGGTCAACGTTGATGGAGATGATGTCCACCTCCGAGCTCACCGGGGCGAAAGTAGGTCCGGCTGCAGTGTACACGATCCCCGGGCGAACCGGGTCCCACTCGGTCGTGAAAGCCATTCCTGGAAAAACCCGACGCCGGTTCGAACCGTCCCGGTTCACCACGTACACACCGGGCATTTCGACGTAGGCGATCCGGTCGCCGGCCGGGGAGAAGACGGGATAGGATCCGTCGATTCTGAACAGCGAGACGTCCGGTCGCGGGCTGTGAAGACTCTCCAGCAGCAAGTGGGGGTCGCCGGAGTTGGATTGGCCTCTGCACCTGTGGTACCCGACCCGACCCGAGTCGGGCGAGAGGAACGGGTTGAGATGGTGGGTTTGAGGGGACACGAAGCGGGTCAACTCGGTGAACTCGTTATTGACAAGGTCGAAGAGCTCTATGTGGCGGTAGCTCGAGGTGGGTCTCCTCGTGGCGACGGCGATGAAATCGGTGTTGCCCGGGGAAGTCGCCGGAGTGAACGCGTGGATTCCCGGCGGGGTGATTCGGGTGACGGTCACCGAATCGGTCGAGATCGGCCCCGAATTCGGTAGAATCGCCTTGTACACGCTGATCCACCCGTCTTCCTCGCTCTTCCTGTGGAAGAACAGGGTCGAATCGTCGACCCAACTCGGCCACCCGCCGTGTTCGACGATTTTGACCCGCTCCGACCCGTCCCGAGTCAGGAAGACGTAGATATCGGTGGAGAGTTCCTCCACCTCGCCGTTCCACCCATTCTCGCCGTAGGAAGCTACGGCGGTGAGAAATCCGGAGGGAGACACGGCGGGGCTGAAATCGGCGATTCCAATTGGGGTGAGTCTCCGAGTCGACCCGGTTTTCAAATCGGTTGAGTAGACGGCGGCCCAACTCGTCCTGGGCTCGGCGGACTTCTCGTGGGTTGACACGTATACCAGCTTATCTCCAACCACTGTGGGCCTATCCTTCAGGGAGAGCCCATCGTGACCGTGGATTAGAGGCAGCTGGACACGTGGCGCGATCTCCATAGCGGACCTCGATCTGGAGGAGCTTTCCTGCGGCTGAGAATCGAAAGCAATGGCGTCGTAGTAGATGTTGCAGGATCCGTTCCTCTCCGAGACGTAGACGAGATGAAACTCCGGCTCCGTTTCCTCCGCCGCCGCGGGGGTGGAAAAGGGTTGTTGGATGGGAGATGGTTGGGGGGAGAGAGAGAGGAGAGCGGGAGATGGGGAGGCGAAGTGGCCGTTGAAGTTGACGGAGGCGCCATCGGTGAGGCGGAGCTCAGAGGAAGGGGACGGCGGGGTGCGGTGGCGCGTGGGGAGAGTGAAGAGGTCGAAGGCGTAGCTGGATCGGCCGAGCGTGGTGAAGATGATGCTGCTGGTTGGGGGAGGTGGGTTTTGGTGGTTTTGGACGGCGGATTGGGTGGGAAGCAGCGAATTGATGAGGATGCAACAGAGAATTAGTGGGAGGGTTTTCATGGCTGCCTGGTTTGTTCTGTTTCGTTGTGAGTTTTTCAGTGAGCCAGTGAAGTTTGGGCTACAAGGGAAAGGCTAATTGCTAAGCGGAGAAGGAAATCTGGATATGTTTGGGGATAATAATAATAATAATTAATAAGACAAATGTTTTAATTTGTGTGGAAGCGGCTGGTTGTGTACGACGTCATTGGTGACGTAGGTTTGTAAGAGACGTCTTAGATTCTTTCTTTCTTTGATTTTTTGTGGGCCTGAGAGATCGCAAGAATTCCGGGCGGCTTTGATCTCCTGCCAAGAAGACGTGTGGGCTGGGTGCGGCAGTAAATGGACTGGGCTTTTAAGGATCCCCAGAACAATCATCATCATCATCATCCAACCCCACCAGCTTTACAGTATGTGGGCTCGGTAGTATGCCAACCAGTCCAGCATGAGACATGGGCCATCAACTGTATTGGTCCATTCAAATTGAGTTAGCATACTTTAACATTGGGCTTAAATTCTATTCAAAATAGCATGGGCCTCAAACTTTGGGTTACAAACTTACAGCATCACACTTCTTCGCCAGGGAATTTTTTTTTTTTTAACTTTTACACATCTGGAAATTCACGTTACATAGGAACAGTGCACTTTACGTGCATGGGACTAGACTGTATGTCTAATTGTCTATATCCTTGTTTGTTATTCTTGTGCGGCTATTAATTATGTGACTACGGGTACGAAACAATATAAGCAAGAATAACAACATAACTGAGAACCAAATTGCCTCATAAAAAAGAATCATATATATTAATAATGATAAAAAAAATAATAAAAATATTATATCATATATCTTTTTCTTAAATCCAGACAAAACTGCCTGAATTATTGGTTGGGCTTAACACAACCATTGACTCTCAATAGACAAAATTGACAGTAGCATGCATTTATACCAAGTTCCTAAAGACCTCGGGTTTAGCACCCAATCGTAAACAGTGTTGTGATAAGTTGGTTGCGGGTGTGGAGTTCTTCAACTAGAAAATCAGGAAGCATATATGATTGGATGAATATATACATGGTGTTGGGAAATTGTGGAGCCGGCGATGGAGATGATAGTTGGGTGAGGAAACACCCACGAGGAGAACGTGCTTAATGTTGAACATCATACATTTTGAGATCTCGTGGGAAAAAGCAATTTGTCAATTAATGGAAACTTGATCAGTGACTTGAAATTTTTGGATGGTAATTAAATACAATATTCTGTTTCATGGTAAATTTTCTAGCAACAAAGTATCTCTTGAATTTAATGTTCAATAATATGGATGGATCAAAGATAGGTAGGTTTAAGACATTGATCGACGTAGATTGATTTCTATTCCAGATTGATCCATGCGAAAATTTTGTTTCTTAATATCCCAAATTAAGAGCTTTATCACACACTTTCAAGAGTTTAATTTAGGGGCAATTTTTTTTAATGTTCTGTTCTGTTCTAATATAAATATATATGTTTATAATGATATCGATTATGCCATTGTATTGAGCAAATATTTAAAGGTTGGGTTGGTAATTGTTAGTAAACGATATATAAGTCATAATTGAATATCTCACACCAACTCAATTATAGAGGATCTCATCATGGTGGTATCGGAGCTTTCTGTTATGTTAAGCATATGGTATTCGTCTGTTCGTATCTATGCAAATTAAATTCAAGTCAATGTGAGCGACTTGACTTTCGTATGATGAGGTGTGTTAGTAAACGATATATAAGTCATAGTCGAATCTCTTTCAGTAATTCGAGTTATTGGAAATTTGGAATCAACTTGTAGTCATTAATTTCCTCAATTGTACGTATGTAGCTCGATCGGGGCTCGGCCAAGAGAATAGTTTATCTATAAAAAAACTGGCTTCAAGCCTGAAACTTTCTTCTAACAAATCATGGTTGATAAGCAAATAATGATGTTTTGCCACTATAAATTTATAGACAGTTTTCCCTTTAATGTTATTTTAACAATGCCTGCTTGCCATTAATTAAAACTTTAATACCGTCGTTGTAATTAATATTACGTTGTGATGATGGTACACGTTTTGGCTTGTCTTGATCGACTCGCCGCGTACCCGTGACTCGATCGCGACTCGTGAGTCGTCCCTTCCCTCGCTTGTACACTAAAGTGATTCATCCAATCGTAAATATTGTAATTCAAACATGCCATTACAGAAAACGAGATATGAATCGATAATGAAACTCACTGAACATGATTAGCGATCCTTTTTGTAGCCTCTTTAGCAACCAATTAACCAACCTTTTGTTTCTGATCCTAGCCACAAATGCCACCTTGATCCTATCATTGGAGGTAAGAAACTGATGCATACTATGATTCCACGACATAAGTTGCCATGATTCTATCGAATTAGGCATGGGAAGGGCATGAATAATTGCTTGGCAATCTGAGTAGATGATCTCCGAAACTCGAGAGACCTCATCCAACAGCGGAGCAGTTAACATGGCTTTTAACTTCCGCAACAATCGCAAAGGAACAAAAAGAAAGTGTCAGCCCTATACCATCAATAACGTGTCCATATATAGAGGAGTTAGACACAAACTAAAAATCAGATCGTAGAATTATTGTTTCACCAGATAATAAGAATTCAAATCTTAAGCAATACTCAAATACATAATAATTGACTACAGAAAAACACATAACAATCCGGTTATGTTAGTTGTCAGATTAAATCTACTACGTACTGATCAGCACTAATTACTAGATCAAATCAAAGAAGTCTCGCTTTGACACAACACAAACACACAGATAAGTAAGCAAATCTCTAGCTCTGACTTTAATGATTTGTTCTATTTGAGGGCAGACCATCATATGAAGCCATTAGGAATTCGAACAATTTTTTTTTTCCGTCAAAATATTGAACTAATTAACCATCGAAGCTGAACATACTAAGTTGAAATGTCTAATTTCGATTTTTGTATGCCAACACTTATTCAATTTTAAAGGACCAAAGAGCTGCTCACTCATCAATGGGAAGTTGTTGTTTCCCACATTTTTAGAGAAGGAAATAAGTGTGCCGATCACCTAGCTAGTCGTGGGCACTTGTTGGCCCCGGGTTATCATTCTATTCCCTGTTCTGACCCCAGTCTGTGTAATTTCATCCTGTACGATTGTCAGGGGCTCTCTGAACCCCGTTTGGTTTTGAATGAAGGCTGAGATGCTCTGCATCCATTTATCAAAAAAAATTTTTAAAGGACCAACCATGTCTTAGTGAACTCAAAATTCTTATCCGCATATAAATTTGATGATAAGATCTTACGATCTTGCAATCAACATAATTTCTTTTTGAGACGAAATAAAAAAAATGCTAGAAATGAAAAATTCATTGTCGGATTGGTTGGTGAGTCCCAAAAGTTCGTTGACCCTGTAAAAAATGGAGCCTGCCTGCCTGCCGGAGAATCTGACAATTATCGTGGCAGTTACGAGTTGCTGTTGCTCATAGTCAAGACTCGGGACTCGAGGACACAACAAGAGTCACAGTTTAGAATTTTGGCAGGCAAACAGAATTAAAGTCAACACGGGTGGCTACCTGGCTGGCTAATTAACAAAATAATAATAAATACAAAATGAATCGTGTAGTGTAATAATAATTGTATGTAGGGTTAAGCTGAGGACAAACCGTCTGGTCAGTTCAGTGATCGAGACCCAAACTCTCAAACAAATTGCAGCGCGTTGCAACAGTCGACGTCGAGTCAATCATGTATATATCTGTTATGATCAAAATAGAACAATTAATGTTAGAGTGTGGTATAAGATCCAACCTAACTTTCTCCCAACAACTCGAGTTATTGGGACCAACTGGTTTATGACATGGTATCAGAGCTGGTTTGGCCAAGTGGTCGTGTGTTCGAATCTCCACGACCACCAATATTAACAGTTGATTAAAGCACAAGGCACAAGGTATGGTGGGCTTGTCTTATTTTATCCCAACAGTAGTGGGTCCTGGTTTCCCCACCAGTGCTTTGACCTGACCTGCCTTCTCCTCTCACCCAAAGTTGACCATCTCCACGACCATCCATTGAGGTTTTGACCCATGAATTCTTCCCATCCTTACATTATGGAGGTCGAACACCATCTTACGTGATAATTATTACAACCCTTCCACTCCAAAGTGAAAGGATTCAGTTCAATTCAGAGTGGCGATTACCTAAAAAAAAAAAGGCATAGCTAGCTAGACTAGCTCTTTGCACGGTGGAGTTGTATAGAATGACAAGCAATTGCTAATTACTAATTAGATACCCATCATATCATAAGTATTTGGAAATATTTAATTGAACACTTTGTTGTTTTATAATAATTGAGCACTTTATCAAGTTGTTAACCCGGTTTAGCCCATTAGTCCGGCCGGGCGCAGGTGGGTTGAGAGCTAATGGCCCAATTATTTTAGTCCAGTTTAGTCCGGATATATGAAACAAAGTCATTGTATTCTTCATGCATTTATAAATTATATCAAATCTCATCTAACATATGAGTACTAATAAAAAAAAATATTACACCAAAATAACATATCGTACTCGGATGTAATATATAGTGAAAATTCACAGACATTGATATAACATCAATATTCAAATATTCAGCTTAGAATTCCAAAAATTGGGTTTAGGCGAAAAAGGAAAACACACGCAATTCGCTAGCCAAAGAAAAGAATAAAACAGTTTGACCTCCAATCCGGTACCTTGAAGCGGTCGACCCGACGGGTGTGTGCGGCTTGTTTTTCTCACCGGGTCCAGGTCCAAGTGGGTCAACAGACAGGTCAACCCGCGGGTTGACAACCTTGGCACTTATTGACCCTGTTGGAATTGTTGTGTGTAATAGATCACATGTATTTACATTCATCGTCTTATACAGAAGAGGTTAACAAAAACAAACTTAACCTGAGTCATATGTCCAGTGTGATCAAATACACTAGTGTTTATGGCCAAAATTAAGGTTTAAGGTTGGGTGAGAGTTTTAGTTTGTGGAACCGCTTGTCCTGGGTCGGGTGTGGTCTTCGGTTATGCAACCCGTAGATGACCAACCCAACCCATGTTACAACTATTGTCCTAATTAAGGGTATGTATGAAAAACGTATTAATGTCGTATA